TTGGTCGTCATGGAAAAATCTCAGCTTTCCATATGATGAAGGAGGAATTGGAGTAAGACAAATGAGTGATGTATGTAAAGCATTCCAATTCAAACATTGGTGGACATTTAGAACCAAGCATACTCTTTGGGGAGAATTTCTTAAAGCTAAATATTGCCAAAGATCTAATCCCATAAGCAAAAAATGGGATACGGGAGAATCTCAAGCATGGAAGGTACTCATGCAAAACAAACTTAAGGTGGAAGATCACATCCAATGGAAGATTAACAATGGTTCTTGCTCTTTTTGGTGGGATAATTGGTTAGGAGTGGGACCATTGGCTCATTTCACTACCACTAGTCACAGATTTGACAATGAAACTATCGCAGATTTTACGACTAATGGGCAATGGAATGTCGACAAACTGATCAGAAGTGCTCCTCAAAGTCATCTACATACAATCCTGTCCAAGCAGATACAGCTACAGCAAACCAGCACAGACCAGGCAGTATGGAGTCTTAATTCAAATGGCCTCTTTACTGTCTCTACTGCCTGGGATATTATAAGAGAAAAAAGAACCAAAACCAAGATTAACTCTTACACCTGGAATCGGCACATTCCTTTCAAATGTTCCTTCTTGCTGTGGAGAACAATAAGAGGCAAACTCCCTACTAATGAAAAGCTTTCAGCTTTTGGAATCGAACCAAGTGACTGCTACTGCTGCCACTCACCTGGTGAAGATACCATAGAACACATTTTTAACACAGGGAACTTCGCAAGGGCTGTTTGGAAATATTTTGCTGTTTCTTTAGGCATGCCAACTGATTTGCTGCCACTTAGAAACATGATCATGAGGTGGTGGAATTCTTCTCACGACAATGATGCACATAAGCTAATTCTACAATCCACTCCAATCTTTATTTGTTGGAGTTTGTGGAAGAATAGATGTGCTAAAAAATACGGAGGCAATCAATCCAACATTGCAAGAGTAAAGCACTTAGTAATTTTGGACACCTTCAAACTTCTGCGTACAGCCTTCCCATATATATCTTGGCCGATGGGATGGAACAAGCTATGTACATTCATTGAAAAATGTACTCATAACACCAAAGTCACTGCTGTCAGCTGGACTAAGCCTCCAACCAGATGGGTTAAATTAAATACTGATGGGAGTGCATTGAATAACCCAGGCAGCATAGGAG